TCCTCTGTCACCTGAGCATTTCCGACCTCTTTTCTGTTCAGAAGTTCCTCGGCCCATGTGAGACCCACCCTCCCAGCTTACTGCCCAGTGCACTGGTGGAGCCACTGCCGGCGAGGTGATCTCTGCCCCAGCCCTGGGATGATGGCGGGTGTCAGGGCCCGAGGAAGGCCCAGTCCTATCCCTCTCCTCTCTCAGCAAGTCACAGGGAGGTGTCAGGATTCCCATGGGGTCCCAGCACACATGCCCCGCCAGCAGGGCCCCGCGGGGCAGCTTGTGTGAAGCAGCAGGGCTTCTGGGTGCACAGGGTGTGGGTTTACCAGGTCTTGAGACCGCAGATGCTGGCGAAGGGATGAGGAGGTTCTTAAGAGCCCATTCCAGAGCCAGGTGCTGATGGCGCTGGGCATGATGCCCCCACCTGTGAAGCTCCTCTAGTCCTAGGTCAGGAGCAGGTGCTTTGCAAACGTCCCCCCGTAATGACTGCTGGGGGCACACTGCTGCAGCCACTAGCAATAGCCAGAGCGATGCTCAGGGCTCTGGGCAGGTGGGCCCACAGCAGTCCCTGCCTCCGCTGTCTCCCTTCTCCCCCAGCATGGGACTCGAGTGGCTTCTCCTCACTATCAGGAAACACCTCTCAGCCACCTGTCCCTAATAGGCCTAGTGTCAGTGCCCAAAAGCACATGCAGCCCACCGCTGTGCTGTTGGCCATGGCCGCCTTCTAGGAGCCTCACTGAACGTTTCAGAGGCTCGCGCTGAGGTGAGGTCAGTGCCGCTGCCTCTCTCTGTTGCCCTAGGGGGATGAGAAACGCTATTGCCTGGTCCTCAGTACACCCAGGGTGTAGAGCCCAGCAGGCCTGGATGTTGGGGTGGCCAGCCTGGTGATGCAGTGTCTTTGAGCTGTTTCTCTTCCGGAGAGTGAGGAGGTATGCCCTGGGCAGCAGCTGGAGACCGCGGCTCTTGTCCCTAGAAAGTTGGGCTGTTTTTCTACCTCCTGAGAAGCCCTGTAGCATGTGAAGGGTGTTCTGCGAGGGATCAAGTACAGCCCACCAGTGTCTCATGTGACGGGAGAGTGGCCTGCAGTTTGGGCCGATTTTTCACTAGCAAGATGGATAACTTGAGTTGCCTGGCCACAGGCCCCTTGAGGCTAGGGGCAGGTGCAGCCTAGGGCTGGGGTTTCTCAGGCTTGGAGGTCGTTCATGCACTGAGCTGATGGCACTTGTCTAATTAGTGGTTTGGGGAAGCCAGGAGAGGCCTCGTGAGCTCCAAGCTGCCCAAGATCACCTGTTGGAGTTCCAGACTCTGCTGACTCCTCATAGGCTGGGGTGAGTGGCAGGGTGCGCCTTGGGTCCAACGCCCTCCCTGTGGGGAGTTGCCACAAACTTGCCTCTGCTGACCCGCTGCGGCCTGCATGTTTTCCGTGGCGGCCTGCTGTTTACTCCTGCAGCCTGCTGGAGGTGACCATCTCTAGGGTGGGTTTGCCCAGGGGCCATTGGAGAGCTCATCATCAGACCTTGGAGGTCTGGCTGACCCTTCCTAACCAGCCCAGAAGCCCTGCTGTAAGGTGACCCTGGAGCACTTCAGGCTGCACTGTGGAGGTGCCAGATGCCCCTTAATAGAAACAGTGTTGCGGTCACTTGTCTGGTTGAAGGTATTGTAAATGGACATGTTTGGGATTTTCTTGTGGGGGCCCACTCCTCAGGGCCAGGCCTGATGCTGCACGCCCTCCAGCATTGTGGTGGCTGGTTCTCACTGGCCCCCAGAGCAGACCTGGGCTGGCCTCCCCACAGCCTCTGGGCTTCTCCTCCCTTGGGGCAGGTGCTCCTGGGGCAGCTTTCCATGGACTGGGGTGGCTGGAAAGGCAGGGACATGCCCGAAGGAGTACTGCAAGAAACGGCCAGCAGGGCCGCTTGGCTGGCTGGGCAGGCACGCATGCAGAGCCACAGCCGGGCCCTCCTGATTGTGCTCTGTGGACTCCCTCTACAGTGGTCCTTGGCTGGCTGGGCAGGCACGCATGCAGAGCCACAGCCGGGCCCTCCTGATTGTGCTCTGTGGGCTCCCTCTACAGTGGTCCTTGGCTGGCTGGCATGGGCTGTAATGGAGAGAGCCTCCCCACAGCCACCGACCTGGAGCCGGTCTGCGCTCCCAGAGGAGGCCATCTGCAGTGTGTTGCAGATGCCTGTGAAGAGAGAAGAGAGGAGCTCGTGGCTGAGGCAGCGCTAAGGGAGTAGCAGGACCTCAGCAGTAGCACTGACACCCGCGAAGGGCAGTTCCTCTGCCTGCAAGGACTGCGCTTGCAGATGGGTAAAGGAGACGTCTCCCACCACCCTCCTGTCTTCCTTCCTTGACAGGCAGTAAATCTAGCAGCACGGAGGGGCAAGGCATTCAGGGCATCCATCCTGGTCAGCCTGTGAGCCTTGGCTCCTGGGACGGGGTGAAGCAAAGGCCCCGCCTGACATTTCAGATGGGAGACACTCTCCCCTCAGGGTCAGCCTGTGCTTTCCTGTGGTCATCGGCAGGTCAGGGCCCCTGGCCACCTGTTTAGGGCTCTGGAAACTACTTGTCCTGAGCCATCCCAACTATTTGCAAACAACCCTGAGATCAGAAGCACCTAAATTTATTAAAAATGAAGACAAATAGACCTAGAAGTAGGTCCAGGGATCATGAAAAGAAACGAGGGAGAATAGACATGCTTCTGAGCTCTGAGTGAGGGTTCTGGGCTCCTAGTGACTTTGCTGGCTTTGGCCCAGTCCTTGCCATCGAGGTCAAGTGAGATTCCCTTCTTGCACTCTTGAAGATGTTTCCACATGTAACTTTACTGCGTTTGGAATCCACACTGCCGGGCTGTGGACCCACAGAGTTCTGCAGTACCTGGGTCCTGCCATCTTGCTGGGAGGCGTGTATGTGGATTCCTTGGTTCCAGAAGGCCTGAAGGGGCAATGCACACTGTTATAGGGGCCCAGGGCCTGGTGCTGGGGTGGGCAGGACGTGTCGGAGCCTAGTGACAGGACAGCTGGCTGAGGGCAGGATATGGGCAGCGCTGAATTGGTGGGACCTCAGTGCCCTCCAGCCTTGTCCTGTGCTGCTGTGCTGCATTCTGGTAAGCAGGGTGGCACTCAGCACAGTGTTCCCACGTGACTGCACACAGGACTCTCATTAGGAAAACCAGGGCCAGCCCCGTGCGTTATTTACTGCTGAGAACACGGGGGCAGGGCTGGCAAGCTTACCAGAACCTCTAAAAGCCAACATGCCAGAGAAGAACTCCGCAGGCATCACCAACACCACGCAGCAGCAGTGGGGTAGGGAGGATCGTGCCATGAGGTGCTGTAGCCCAGGCACCTTGCTGGGCATCATGGGTTAATCCAGATGGGTTCCATGACTTCTTGGCTAGTTCTGGTGGGCATTGTCTACCTACCTGGGCTCGGCATGTCAGAGACATGAATGAACAGGAAGGTGCTGATCAGTCCAAATACAGAGCGCTCCTGAAACGGGTTGAGTCCACACATGATGTCCATGTGAAGAGGTCAGCGTTGCCCTCACCTCCTCATGGTCCCACCCTGACCTAGGGCTTTCTTCCTCAGGTGGACAGTGAGCTCCATGGGGAGGAGGCAGGATTGCCCTCACCTCCTCATGGCCCTGATCAAGGGGCTTTTCCTGAGTCTTCTTTTCCTTCTGAAATCAGGCGTCTCCATAAAGGGAGTCTTAAACTCTTTCAGATGACTTTGTCATCCTTTGGAGCACATAGGTCTGAGAAATGTCACTCCTGTCCTCAGGAGGCTCGTCAGTTGTGCCTAGAACCCTTTTGGAGGGTGTGTGGGAGGTTCTCATGGTGAGCAGCACTTTCTCCTGGTAAGAGAAGTCACTCTGCTTAAGTGTCTTGAGTCAGTCGGTGACCAATGTGTCATCAGCTACCTGTGTGGCCCTGGTAGGGACCACTGCACTGCTCTAGACAAGCCGGTTACCCACCAGGGAAGTAGAGAACACTACAAAATAACTCTCTCATGTTCGGCTTAAGTTCTAAATTTCTGGCACTCACTTTACTTGCTGGAAGGTTTTGGGAGAAGGGAGAGTCCCCTCCTTCAGGGCACTCCCTGAGGGAGGGAGGGAGGGAGGTTAGAACTGAGCAATGTGGGAAGGGGACAGAGGGCAGCTCTCCGAGCTAGGCGGAGGTCACCGGCTGGAAAGCTGTCGAATGGGAACACTGGCTCTGGCCTGTGCACAGGGAGGGCACTGTGTTCCCTCACACCTAGCAATGGAGCCGCCGGGAGCTCAGTTGAGGCAAGGAGACAGGCCTGCTGAGCGTCAGCGTCTGTGTAGCGTCCAGGGAGGCTCCCGGATCCTGCAGGCAGGAAAGTTGGACCCTGGGGTTACTCAGCTCTGCCTTTCGGGGGTTGGGGCTTGGGGTAGAATGGCAGCAGTGGGGACCAAGAGAGGCGAGACCTGAAGATGTCTCCAGGGGTCTTGCAGGCCCTGGAGCCCTGGATATTTCTGGCATAAGCGCCCAGAAGGGTGGAAGCAGACCTGCTCCTCAGGGAGGGCACTCGTCCAGGGCAGATCTGACTGAGCTCAGTAAGACATCCTGTGCAGTCCAGCAGTGACGTCAGGGTGGTCATCACCTGCCTCACCCAGTGAGAGCTTCTGCCTGCCGAGGGCTTGCACCCCGAGCAAGCTGGCTAGGAGCACGGGTCTGCAGTCCCCTGGAGGAGAACAGAGCTTAGGGTAAGGTGTCTGCAGGCTTCAGAGGAGGAGTGGGTGGGGTTCCCTAGTGAGTGGGCCTTTGGGTGGACGCCTGTTTCGTGCTAAGAGCACACTCCAGGCAGCATGCGCTTCATTCAGGAGATGACACGGGGAATGGAAACAGTCTCAGCATCAAGGGAGAACTCGGTGGCAGAAGGCATGAGAAGCACACGGCTGGAGGCGGTTCTCGGCTCGTCGGGGGGTTCTGGGTGGCTGCCAATGAGCACTGTGGATCAGTAATGCCTGCTTTCTTAAATGTTTTCTTCCAGCGTCCTGGGACCAGCGGTGACTTTCAAAGTGAGCACCGATGTCCAAAATGTGACAACTGCAGATGTCGTGAAGGCCACAGGTAAGACTATTCGCACACTCGGGTGTGTGCACGCACCCACTACAATTGAGGTGGAGAGGGCAGGCAGTGCAGAGCAGCAGTGCACGGGCTTGTGCCACGGAGTCTGAGGCTAACAGGGTCAGGGTGGATCCAGGGCTAGTGCCACCTGAGCCTCATTGCTCAGGCTTCATGATGGGTGCCGGCTTCTGGCAGGAGAGAGAGACCTCGGTGTGACATTTGAGAGATCTGGAAACGCGAGGGTCGGTGTGCGCCGCGGCCCAGTGTGAACAGAGACAGGACTCGGCATGGGCTCTCTGTGCTGTGCCAGCTGCAAACTGGCTCTGGGTCTCCCCATCGCTTGCGAGCACAGGCCGGGCTGGGCTCTGGGGGTTTGAGAGAACACAGGTGACAACTGGGCAGGCTCTTGTTAGGACCTCACGTTTCTGGGCATTTCTGAGACCTCTTTCCCGTGGGTGGCCTTGGCCGTGGGACTGGTGTTTGTTGTTGGGGGAGAATGGGGCACTTCTCTGCCAGCATCTGGAGGGATGGTGCGGGTAGGGTTCATGGACTTTGTGCTGTCCCGAGTCCTGTCCTCAGCCGGGCCGGTTCTCATAGAGGATGCCTGGGGTCTCTCTGGAGGGGAGGGTGCGGGAGTAGGGCCTCTGGAGGTGGAACGTGCAACCCTCTAGAGGCCAGGCTGCTGCCCTGTCCCAGGCAGAGCAGAGCCTGTGTGCCCCAGGTGTCCCTCAGTGCATGGGCTGCTTTATGAGACTGCTCAACGCGAAATGCAGTGAGAGTGGTGCCCGCTCAGAGCCTGGGCCTTCAGCTCTCCAACCCAGACCTGGCTGCGGGCTGTCCTGTCCAGCTGTGGCTGGCAAGGCGTGTGGAGCTGCTCTGCCCTGCCCAAGGGAGGAAACTGCTGGTCTCTTCTGTTCTGTGGCTGTTGGTTGGCTCACAGGATGTCGTTGTGCCTTTAGTAACTCTCCGTGCTGACAGGGATGATTTGGGAGGCCCCAGTGAGTTTTGATCAGAAGGGTTCTATGCTACGTTGCCCTGGACTGCAAACATCTGGCAGGTTTGAGGTCTGCGGAGAGCTGGCTCCCGCCTGTTGCACACCTATCTGTGTTGTGCGGCATCTGGAGCTGGGCCCTCCTGGCAGGGCAAAGCCCCTCACTACAGCTGAGGAGTTTCGCCTGGTGCCCATGGAAGGGGGTCAGGAGGTGTCTTTCTAGACACTCTGCCCCCTGGAAGTGAAGAAACTTCAGCTCTAATAGCTTGGACCCCAGGGGCTCCAGGACCTCCTCCCCTTGAGAGCATCTAGATCACACGTGTGATGCCTAAGCATATGCGGGTCTTGGCACACGGAGGACCAGCCCGTCCTCAGGACTCTGTCCCTCAGCTGCAGTCCATCCCATTCCAGGAAGCAGTCCGTCTGAACTTGGATCTGCAGGACGGGGGACGTCATGGCTGACAGGCTGGAATGCAGTGCCTCTTCACTCCTCAAAGCTGTGACAATATGTGTGCGGACAGTGGCCCTTTATTCTCTCCTTGCTCTCTCAGGGCAACGAAGTTGATTATTTGAAGTCCGGTTTCTTGGTCATTCCCAAAGCATCTTCAGTCGACAGCCTCCAAGTGCTTACATTTGCTAACTCGCTCCAGGACATTTACCCTGACTTGTAACTGTGACAACCGTAATGTGTCTTACTTCTTGAATCCGTGCAAAATGTTAACAGACTTGCAGAATTTTAAAAATAAGCTCTTTTCCTATTTTGAATACTGAGAATGCGCTTGAAGCTCTATGAGGAAAGCACTCTAAAAAATCAGCCTGAGGCCTTGAGGACGTTGTAGTCTTGAGGTTCAGATGCCTGTGGGGTGGGGGGGGGGGCACCTGGCGTCTGCTCAGGGAATGTGGGTGCCAGCTCACTAAGTGGCAGTCCCACGTGGAAGGCGACGGGGAGGAGGCTGGGCTCCAGGGGAGTCCCCTGGGATTTCCTAGGGGAGGTGGAGTCCCACCGTGCATTGCAGGCTGCCTGCCGTCTGCTGGGGTGGGCCCACTCTGGACAGATGGCATCGTCTGTGGTCAAACTTGGCGCAGCCTTCTGCTGTGGTACAGGGAGACTATGGGCTGCCTGAAGAACCAGGGACCGCGCTTGGTCCCCGAGGGGCTTAACGGCAGGATGGCCTGGATGTCTTTTGTTATTAATGAAGAGAGACTATAGCCCTGGTGGTAGAATTTAAAGGGCATTTGTTTAGCTAACTGTACACAAACTGGTGCAGAACTTAATGAACAGGCACATGAGTACAGACACCATGGGTCATCGATGCTTGGTAAGTGCAGTGGCCTTCGCCATTCCTCCTGGTCCCAGGTGAATCTTCTCCAGGAATTCTGCCTAATAAACAAACTTGGGTATGAACATAAGGAATTAAGGATGTTAAAATAAGCAGGACTTGCTTGAGGGAGCGCTCCTGTGCTGCAGAATGCACGTGGAAGGCTAGTGGTCACTTGTGTTCCTGTGGCCAGTCATTCAGTCCCACCGACCAGACGAAAGCGCCTTTTCTTACTCAACTTACTGGAAGTTTATTCTCAAATAGCTTACTTCTCATCAATGACTGCATTATTTCTTTAAAGAAAATGTAGTCAACCATCTTTTAGAACAAGTGTTTGCTTTGGTGGCCCCACGGCGACCTGGTGGTCCCCCCGTGCATCCCTCCTGTCCTGGAGGCCCATGGTGACCCTA